AATGGACCAAATACTGAAAAAATGTCGGATTTTGCAGTAGCTATACAGGTCGCAATTATAGACCAATCAACGCGGAATTTCGCATGTAGCTAGAGTTTAGGGCGGGGAAGAAGCCTACCAATTTGGGTGGTCATCGGATAATATTTAGCGGGTAAAATAGACCATATCTTTTTTGTTGAAAAAATTCAAAATTTTTCATTAAACCGCGAATATTTTAAATCCCGGCGAAATCACAAAGCCATGACAAGGTTACTTGTGATCTTTACATTGATGTTAACATCCAACAAAACGGATATATAGCAAAATATGTGCGATATATATGTCTATCCAAGAAGATATGCTTTAAAGATCTCTTATATGTCGAGAACGGCTGAACTGATTTCGACAGTTCTCATTAATTCAGAATGGTCCCTTGGCAGGAAAGAAAAAACGTCTAAAAAATCGCATAAAAATATCTCTCTAAACATGAAAATATTGATTTTGTAACATTTTCTCATATTTTTTCCATTTTGTCATATTTTTGGCATATTTTCATTTTGAATTAAACATTTGATATATTTCTACAGCTAACAAAACTAAGTAGTTAGGATATCAGGATATCATATACAGATCGCATTTATGGCCCGATCCTTACGAAATTTTGCATGGGGATAAGATGAGGGTCAGAATAGAAGCCTACTCTTTTTGGAGATGATCGCCATATATTTAGGGGTTGAAATTGACCAAAAAACTGCAAAATTGTCAGGAGGTCGTAATTATCCCCCGATCCTCACGCACATTTGAATGGGGGTTACCGGACATTGCAAAAGCCAAGCAGTTTTGGATGGCCATCCAAAAATTTTCAATGTGTGAAGGAGTTTGCCAACTTTTGTAGACAAATACGAAAATGTCCATTCCTGTGACTTTTTGGAGAATTCACAAACACAGGAAAGACGCACTTCTGACTATTTCGTTAATGCTGATTTCGTTAAGGAATATAGTCAAATGTCTGTATCTCATATAGATGCGTTTCAGTCAAAAACCAATAATAAATGTTAATCTTTTGCCACTTCTGAGAGATTATAGGTCTTTGGGAAATATTGGTTCCAGATCTAGGAAGACCATTTACGTGCAACATCTTCCAATAAATTGGAAATGAGCAAATTAGTTAAAGTTGCCATTATTCGAAAATTAGAGAACGAAACTTGATGGTTTTCTTTTAATATTTGTCACAATATCTATATAAACTGTATCGTTTATTATAGTGTTGTAGGGTATTCAACGGTCGGCCCCGCTCGACTGTAGCCTTTGCTTACTTGTTTATACTTATAATTATGTTCATTATCAGGTACAAACAAGAATAAATACAAATTTAAAAAAAATTGCATTTTTGTTTCGCATCTTCAAAAATCGTTTTTATTTTACCCCTACCAAAATCGTTTTTATTTTCCGCATATCTGTTATACACTGTTATACAACAGAAAGTGCGCCCAGACTGGGTGTTGTCTTCGCTAGTTAAAATCGTTTTTATCTTCACGCACATGTTCAGATTTGGATATAGCTCCCATATATATCTTCATCCGATTTCGGGTTAATTGACCACCAAATGGCCAATATCAGCCCAAATGGCCCGAATTTTGGCACATGTGACCGAGATTAGCCTTAAAGCAAATACAACAAATTTGGAGAAAATCGGTTCAGAAAGCTCCCATATATGTTTTATCCGTTTTGGTGTTTAAGCCTCTCACATTCGTAATATGCACTCCACAAGAATGATATTTGGTACCAGATAAAAGATACAGCCCAGAAATAGCTGTTTGTAATTTTATCGAAATCGGTTCAGATTTGGATATAGCTCCCATATATATCTTCATCCGATTTCGGGTTAATTGTGCACCAAATGGCCGATATAAGTCCAAATGGACTGAATTTTAGTACATCGGACCAAATTCAGCCTAGAAGCAAGTATATCAAATTTAGTGAAAATCGGTTCAGATATAGATATAGCAACCATATATATGTTTCATCCGATTTAGTGTTTTAGTCCCATACATTCGTAATATTCATTCCACAACCGTGATATTTGGTACCAGGTATTAGATGGAGCACAGGAATAGCTGTTTTAAATTTTATCGAAATCGGTTCAGATTTGGATATAGCTCCCATATATATCTTCATCCGATTTCGGGTTAAATGTGCACTAAATGGTCAATATCAGCCCAAAACACCTGAATTTTCGTACATAAGACCGAATTCAGTCTAGAAGCTAATACGTAAAATTTGGAGAAACCCGGTTCAGAGATAGCTATAGTTCGTAAAATGCACGATAGAATTAGATAGATTTTGATTTTGTACCAAATATCTCATAGAGCTCTGAAATGTCCTGTATAAACCTTTTTACGAGAGCTCTACTAAATATGCATAGTGGTGTAGGGTATCATATAGTCGGCCCCGCCCGACTTTTGAGCTTTCCTTACTGGTTCAAACTGGTCTTCTTTAATAGTTGCACCAAACACTAAGGCTGTTATTTTTAATTCTAATTTGGCTGCTTTTATAAAGCTTTGTAGATTTAAAGGCTCTGGTGCTTCGACAAATAATTTGTCTTCCCCCAAAACAGTTGGTATCAACATTTATTACAACACTTGTGACACGACGCGAAAGCACAAAACAACTAAAAAGAATAAAAAAAAGAACACAACCAGAATGCCAACTTGAGACACGCGCAGTGTTGCCGTTTGAAATTTTTATTTCAGCCCAAATTTTTTCTAAAAACCGCCCAAAATCGACCATATCCGCCCAAACTGTAAAAAGTTGAATAATTTATATGTAGTTTGTATTCAAGTAAATTTTATTGAAAATTTTACACTATACATAAAAAAGGTACTCAAGTTTTATTGCATTCAATGTATTAAATACAATAGAGAAAATAAAAATTTTATGTTTTTTTACTTCAATTTTTTTTTATATATATTATATATATAATTGAAAAAGTAACATAATACAAGAATTCAATGTATTAAATACATTAAAGTCATTATTATTATTCAGCATGGGGCTAGACGAACAGGTCAATTCTGTCCGTTACGTAGATGCCGATAGTAAAAATATCGGATATATATAGAGAAATATATACAATGTATATATACAAAGGAAGGGGATGTCAGCTAGAATGCTTATATTTTCAGAAAGGCTGGAACGATTTTGATAATGATGTTCATATAGATTTTGTAGTATTTTGTGACATTTTTTTATTTTTTCATATTTTTTATCGCATGCGATTTTTTCAAATTGACTCATAATATTGAAGTATTTGTTTTGTAATATTTTTTCACTTTACAACACAGGTTAGGGTTATTATTTATATACAGATTGCAATTATCGTTCGATTCTCACGAAATTTTTCACAAAGGTAGGGTTAGGCTCAGAAGGGCTTGGCCTATTGTTTTCAAAGATGTCCGCAATATATTTAGGGGTTGCAATGGACCAGCAACTCAAAATGTTCCTGATTTTGCAGCCGTTATAAAGGTCCCAAATATAAACCTAAAATCTCGCATGAAGTTAGAGCTTAGGACAGCGGGTAGAATGCACCACTACTGTTGTGTAAAAAAAATACCAACATTACTTACAGGCGATACACAATAGGCGAACTTCTGGTTTTTTTATGCTGATTTCGTTGACGAATATAGTCAAATATCGTAGACAAGCAAATCATATGGATGAGTCTAAATTTGGAGACACAGAGAGGCCTCTTGCTTTTGGAGATGATCGCAAAATATTTAGGGGTTTAACTGAACCAAAAACAGAAAAAAAATTCCTGATCACACAATTGAAGCCAATCGACACGCCTGAGAAGATAAGTAAGCACAGGGAAGAATTCTGGCATTTTGGATGACCATTGGAATATAGCCGTAAAATGGCCCAAAAAAACTAACAGCACGACGGAGTGCATAAATATTGGGAAAATGTCCCTGGTCAAAATGCTAAGGGTAATATCTGGGCAGTGCTCCGTGACATAATTTCAAAAGCGAAATCTTCCAAAATGGATTTGGACATGAGGGGGCTTCTAACATATTGTAGTGTTGTAGGGTATCACATGGTCGGCCCCGCACGACTATAGCCTAATATATTATATATATTATTAAAAAACTTAACAAAAATCTATAAAATAAATAACGATTCATCTCAATAAAAAAATATAAAATTCAGTTAGTAATAAAAAAATTAAATTACGTAAAAATAAACAATGAAAAATAAATTTGTACCCAATATGGAAAAAAACCGCCCAAAATCCGCCCAAACCACAAAATTTATCTTTTTTCCGCCCAAATTTGGACGGAAACGCCCAAAACGGCAACACTGGACACGCGCAAATGTTACGCTCTTTTGCTCTCATCAAGCAAATCGGTGTTTATGCGAAAAACGCATGTATGTATGTATGCATGAACATTACCCGCTAGCAATGAAAATTCCAATTAACTAAATTTCGCCAGTCTTGTACTAGTTATAAGCCGTACTAGTACCAAATGTGTCCCCAAGTAATGCGGATGGAACCAATTGACACCTTTTCGTCCCCAAGTAAACGAAGAGGCGACAGTTGTGCATAAATAAAAAACCACCACCAAAAAACCAACCAACAGACAAGTTAAACGAACATGTGAATGAGATCTCTACGAACAAGAATCACTTTGAATAGTTTTTTGTTTAGATGATCAACAAAAAACAATGAACAGTTATTCTTGAGGAATGCACGTGCGTTTTGTTTGGAAAAAATCATTCTTATTTTGATCGTTGTGAAGTGAAGTTGCATTGTGAAAATTGTGTTAATTAAATCATAAAGTGATTAAAATAACAATTAAAAAGGTAAGAATGAGTAGCAAAAGACAATTTAGACGTAGAGTAAAGAAAGAAAAGGAATCTTTGATTAAAAAAATTGATAATGTTGTCTCAGAGGTAACCCCCACATAATTATTCTATTGAGGAACCTTCAGAAAATATCAGACCAATATCTCCACATATTTTAGTGGAAGAAGAAGACTTTAACCATGCCGGGCAATTTAATTTAAAATTTGAGCAATGGTTTAAAAAACACAGACCGTCTAGAAATTGTGTGCAAGATCTAGTTTCAATTTTAAGAGAAGAAGGTGTTAGTATCTCTTTCAACCCTACTTTTTATTGTCCATCAAGGCCTTTAATAGAAAGTATTGCAGGTGGAACTTATATTCATATCGGGGTTAGATCACAGCTTTTAAAACTTTCTAATTGTATTTCTTTGCCTCAAAATATAACCATTGATGTGAATATAGACGGGCTTCCACTTTTTAAAAGCTCAAAAACTCAAATTTGGCCGATCTTAGTTAAAAGTACAAATACACCTAAATGTTATGTTGTACCGGTTGGAGTTTTTTTTAGGCAAAACTAAACCACAAGACCTGGACACATATTTACGTCAATTTCAAGAAGAAATGGCACATTCTACAGAATATGGTCTAGAAATTGGAGGTCTCACATACACTATAAATATTCGTGCTACAATTTGTGATGCTCCTGCAAAAGCTTTTATAACCGGTGTCCCGTCTCATACATCACGATGCGGTTGTGCAAAATGTACACAGGTTGGAAAAAAAATAAACGGGACATTAACATACAGCTCAATATGCGATGTTATAATCAGTGATGAAGATTTCGCTTCTAGAAAATATACAAACTTTCACCAAACAAAATACCTTTCAAGAAATTCCCCTCTTGAGAGTATTGGTGTAAAAATGGTTACACAAGTTATATTAGATGTTATGCACCTAATAGATTTAGGTGTTGTGAGAAAATTTCTTATAAGACTTATAAATAATAAAAGTAATATTAAAATTTGCTATTAAGCCATTTCGAACATATCCGAGTCCTTGTCTAATATTCGAAAATATAGCATTAAAGAGTTCTGTCGTAAACCCAGATCATTGGACGAATTGGAAGGCAACTGAATTTCGGCAATTTATTTTATATAACGGAATTATTGTCTTAAAGAATGTCGTACACGAAGATGTGTATTATATTTTTTATTATTACATTGTTCGTATATAATAATTTGTTGTCCAAAACAAAGACCGATAAATCTAGAAACTGCTCAAAATATGCTTAATATATTTGTTGAAAACTTTGCTACAGTATTTGGTGAAAATAGTATTTCATATAATGTACATTCCTTGCTACATTTGGAAAAATCTATTAATATAGTTGGAGATCCTACAAGTGGATCATCTTATCCTTTCGAGAACTACCTTCAAAAATTAAAGAAATATATAAAAAGTCCGAGGAACATTTTAGAACAAATTTATAGGTATTCTGTAGAAGAAACATTTGAACTAAATTCAGGAAATAGTACTCCAATTCTAAATGTAGAAAATAATAAATACATATTTAAAAATTGTACTCTAACTACACGCTTTCCAAACAATGCCGCCTACATAAGATCTTCTATTCCTATACAGATTGTAACGTTCCGCGATTGCCAAGAGGGGTTTTTATTGGGTCGCAGGTACACAAATCCACAAAGTTTTTTTAACGAACCCTGTGATTCATTAGACTTGGGTATAAGCGTAGTGGACTCAGAGCCATCGTGCCGCGAAGAACTCTTTCCCATAACCGATTTAGAGTGTAAGCTAGTAGTTTTACCCTACAATAGCAAACTAGTTATACTGCCTTTATTGCACACCTGCCTTTGAAATTTCATTGTCAGTTCATACAACTCCTTTTCTTTTTATTAATTGGATTGTTAAATTAATTGTTTGTTATTATATACATGAAATTCATTTTCTTTAGTTTTTTTAGTTTTTATTTTAAAATGGAAGAAACACCCAGAAAAATTAAATGTTTCAGTTCAATTATAAACAATGGTAAGTAATTAATAATCTTAAATAATTTCCTAATTAATTCACTATTATTATTTTTCTATTTTGCAGATGGTCTCAATCAAAAGTGCAATTGCGAAACATTTGTTAAAAAGATGGAAAATGTGGAAAATACTCAAAAAGTAATTCAAGGTAAAATTATGTCATTTTTCTTAGAATTGTTGCATTGTTGTTAATTTGTTTCTTTGTTTTCACTATAGGTCAGATCAAGGTTTTAGCTGAGGCATTAGCTGAGTTGAAGGTGATGGTGCAAAAATTACTTCGATCTCAAAGTGATGAGATACCTTTAACGAATAGGTTACCCATCAGCACTGAGAAAGACCTTATTGAAATTAATAACGACATCACAAGTGAGAATAAAGATCTATATGTAAGTATTTTTAAATTCTTTTCTTAGTGAAGACAGATTATATACAAATATTTTGCTAATTTTCAGTTTAAGATTATATCATCCATTATAAAAAGAGAGGGAATATTGAAATCATTAAAAAATATAGGTTTAAAAATTACTTACGAATATAATATTGACGGAAATCATGGAAAAAAAGTTTGAAGTCCCTAAGCAATATATATAACGTAATTTTAGGTAAGGTATATAAGAAAATATTACTATATTCTACATAATTGTATAAATCAAACATTATTTTTTTGCAGATTCAATACCAGTTCAAGAAAATTCAGACACCCCTGAAACGCAACTGCGAAAAGCAATACAAGTGCAAAAGAAACGATTTTTTAAACAAGTGAGTGCTGAGAGAAAAGCAGAATAGTTAATAAAATATTACCATTAACTTTATTTTATAAATATTGCATTTGTTTTGTTTTTATATTAACTATGTAAATATGGTTTTAAGAATCAGATAAACATGTGCCAACATGTGTTTTTTGTGTTAAGTTTATATATATGTATTTATATGTATATATATTGAATTTAATTTATTTGTGTTTTTATAGAGTAACGTATATTTGTATTCATTTATGTTTCAAATAAAAAATGTATTAAAACTAAAAATTATCATTTCAGTAACAATAATTGGTACTGAACTAGTTCATTGGAAACTAGTTTAGAATCGGTCTGCTTATACTAGATAGGGGATAGTCAATTGACACTAGTACATGATTGTATACATAGAACTAGATAGGGGGTAGTCTGCTGACACTAGTATATGGCTGTATACTTGGAACTAGGTAGGGGTTAGTCTTTTGTCTCTGGTATATGACTGTAAACCTGGAACTAGTACAGTATCATCTACAGGTAATGCAAAAGGAGTCAATTGGTTACCTCGTATGACATCCCCATGTTAAAGTTTACAGTTGTTTGCACTGTGAGGGGTCTTAAGTGGAACTAGTTACTGTAACCCTTAGAATCGACGAGTATACGGTGCCGAACTAGTCCACATTGCTAGCGGGTAGTAAGAAGCAACGTCTCAGCAACAAAAAAAAAAACATCCAAACAACTTGAGAGTCTCTTTGTGTGTTGTTGTTGTAACGATTTCTTTGTCAAGTAGGCATTTTTGGGTGCATGGACAATAGAAAAGAAATAAAGTTTCAGCAACAGTTTCCATCCCTCCTGCCGCCCACACACCGCAAATAGTTCCAGCAGCGATCGGCAGTGTTTGCTTGGTGAGAGCAAAAGAGCGTAACATTGGCGCGTGTCTCAAGTTGAGACACTATGTGCGTTGTGTGCTCTTTGACAAAAATCCTCTCTGCACCCATAAAAAAATATGTTCTAAGATATAAAATATGTTGGTACCCAACAAATAAAATTGAGTTATGTTACAAAATGTTGCAAACAAATATTTGTTTGCACCGAAACAAATTATGTTTGCATCCAAAAATACAGTGGTTTCTATTTACCTGCATCAACATTAGCTGCGCATTGGCCTTTGCAGACCAAAAAACTTTTGTTATGCCATTTTTTTCTGAATCCCTTTATTTGAATTGTATTTAAGTGCCCAATCGATAGCTGCACATTGGACATTACTGCCTTGAAAATTTGGTAATTTTTTTTTAATTTGGTCACAAAAGTTGTATTTATCTGCACAAGAAAATTTTTTGCAAACTCAAAAAAGACACTAAAAACTACCACTTCGTTTCTGTATTCGCAAAAACAATAACAACACAAGAAAAGAGCATGCATTAAAAACATATTCTCGCTTCCTCTCCCACACTAAAAGATGGTTATGCTGGATAAAACACCACTGATGCTCAAATACATACGAATAGAAAATTAAAGATACCTGCACTTTTTGTATACGTGAGTACAATTAAAGATACCTGCTTCATTGTGCAGATAAGTGCAGTGAAGCTACATGCATTTTGGGCATTGCTGCACAAGATGTCGTGCAATTTTTGATTGTGCAGGTAAGCAAAAAATACTGTATATTTGTTTGCAACCAGTCCCAAACAAATATATGTTTGGATCCAAATATATTTCTAACATATATTTTTCTGCGTGTAGCTAGATTGACTCAGCTCGGCGAGCTAAGAAGATCCATATATACTTTCCTATGTGGGAAACCCATATTTCGTGGTGTTACATAATTTTTGGCCCAATCAAACTTATAATACCCCCAACAGATAGTGTTGTAGGGTATAAAAATCATATCCTATGTTTTGAATTCTTAAAGCGGCGAACGAGTTCTGTTCGAAATTAAACCTTAAACATGTATACTTCTCATTTTAAAAGTAGTTTCCATTAAATGCAAAGAAACTTATAACTTTAAAAATTAAATTAAACGATTCTCATACAATGTTCACATACTTTTTCATTTACGCATGTTTATTTGCATGCCCATATATATATGGATTTTTCAAAAGAAGGACATCGCACAGTATGGTCAAAAAAGGCTGATGGCAATATTGCTGTTATTGTTCTCAGTAAGTCTTGTATTGTCATATTGAATTCGAAGAATATGCTTGCACAACGAATCCTGCTACCTCCATAGTTAGAATGCTGTGAACACACAAGTATAGGGGATATCACAATTAAACATTCATACCTATGTATGAGGGGCAACTTTGAGATTTTGCTATCAGTTGTACATCTGTTTCTGCATAAGCTCAGACGACGATGAAGAAGGCAACGAGGAAGATGAAATAGAGTATAGGACATGTAAAGTATGCGGACTAACGTTTGTTTCAAAGCAAAAAAGTTAACTGTTTTCTCCTAACTGTTACGGATATAGCTCTACCGCAATGAATACCATTTTATTGTCAATTCCACCTTTTTTCTGGTAATGCTACCAGATTGCAAGAACTTTATATTTTGATTAGTCGATAGAGTACTTAAACTTAGCTCGGAATATAATAAGAGCCGATGTATTGAGATGTGCAAAATTGTTCAGACAACATCACCAATTCCATATTTTTAGAGCTAGTAATATTTAAAATCTTGAAGTTAAAATTTAGAACATTTTGAATTTGAGGTCTCAGAAAAAGTTGACATACACAAACTTAATCTTATAGTGGCAGAAATCTTGAAATGTGGAAAATCGGGAAATAATTACATTTTTTTGAGAAATATTATTTGAAATTATATCCCTTCAAGAGGAGATACCAGCAGGAGTCGTGGGTTTGGCTCGGTAGTTTTAACGAGAGAACCTAATCCATATATTGGGTAGTGCTGGTAAGATTCTAGTGAAAAAAGGACAGATATTCCTAAAGATTCTGGCCTTGGTTTGTACGCCACCCCATTGTATGATGAAGGGTATACACATCCTACATCCTTAGTAGTTATTTTTCTCACAATCTGACAACATCTTCGACTAGCCATAAGGTTGTTAAATTTCTTCGACGATGAGGGTTGTTCTGGTCGTTAAAGTTATTGCAAAACTGACATCCAGCATCTGTTGTAGTTGTGCACGTTACAGATACACGAATGCACTGCCCTCTATCAGCAAACGAACGCAGGACATATCGCATATACACACTTTGCTGCATGCAAAATTGCAACCAGTAGAAGAACGATGCCCAAAGTCGACCCCATCCGACACATTTCATATCTGATAACCGTATTCTTATGGATAATGTAATACAAAAGACTGTGTGATTAAAAACAAGTAAAAAAGCAGTAAGTTCGGCCGGGACGAACTTTGAATACCCTCCACCATTTGGATCGAATTAGAAAATATTGAAAAAAATAAAATCCATTGAAAATTCTGTTAAAATCTTTAAAATACCTAATATCGGAAGGTGCCGATATATGAGGGGATAAATGCTATTGTGGACCTATATAGACAAATCTATGTCTGGGGGTAAAGTACTCACAAGGAACTCCTTGTGTGGATTTTCAGATAATTCCAATGGGAAATGTGGCTAAAATCATCAAAATCCCGAATATCGGGGGTACCGTTATATGGGGGATATACGATATTGTGGACCTATATAGACAAATACCTTTCAGGGGTTAAAGTGCTCACAAAGAAATCCTTGTGTGGATTTTCAGACAATTCCGTTGAAAAATGTGGGTAAAATCATCAAAATACCGAATATAGGGGAGTACCGTTATATGGGGGATATACGATATTGTGGACCTATACACACAACTCTCTTTCAGGGAGTAAAGTACTCACAAAGAACTCCTTGTGTGGATTATCAGACAATTCCGTTGAAAATGTGGGTAAAATCATCAAAATGCCGAATATAGGGGAGTACCGTTAAATGGGGGAATACGATATTGTGGACCTAAATAGACAATTCTTTTTGAGGGGGTAAAATGCCCACAAGGCACTCCTTTTGTGGAATTTCAGACAATTCCATTGAAAAATGTGGATAAAATCATCAAAATACCAAATATCGGGGGTATGCGATATCGTGGACCTATATAGATAATTCTCTGCCGAGGTATAAAGTACCCACAAGGAAGTCCTTGTGTGGATTTTCAGACAATTGCTTTGAAAAATGTGGGTAAAATCATCAAAATACCGAATATGGGGGATACCGTTATATGGGGGATATACGATATCGTGGACCTATATAGATAATTCTCTGCCGAGGTATAAAGTACCCACAAGGAATTACTTATGTGGATTTTCAGAAAATTCCATTGAAAAAGGTGGCTAACATCAGCAAAATACCGAATATCGGGGGTACCGTTATATGGGGACTATACGATATCGTGGACCGATATACCCCATCTACGAACTTGACCTGCCTGCAGACAAAAGAGAGATCTGTGCAAAATTTTAGCTTCCTATCTTAATTCGTTTAGACTTTAGCGTGATTACAACAGACGGACAGACGGACGGACAGGGCTAAATCGTCTTAGATTTTTACGCTGATCAAGAATATATATACTTTGTTGGGTCTAAAATGATTATTTCGATGAGTTACAAACGGAATGACGAACTTAATATACACTCCATACTTTTTTTGGTGGAGGGTATAACAATTGTAATCGGTACACCATTCAATGGTTCTCTAGTGTGAGTATCACTTATGAACTCACTAGTGTATTCAAAGAGATCCAAATGTCGGACGTCTGAACCGTGTACTCAAAGTCGGTAGTTTTTTCCGATATGTCTGACCGACGTATGTCCGAATTCTGTTAGTTTGTCGTAGGAATTTATTCTGTTGTAGAATTTTTTTCTCTTCTGCTTGTGAGGTAACATTTGTTGTAAGCAAACAAAAAGAAAATAAAACAAAATGAGTTTCTCTCTTCTTCCGTCCGTCGGCGAAAAATGCGTATTATTGATACCAATTTATAATACAATTTTCTCGAAATGTTTGTATTAAATGAACAATTTACTATGTGTATTTACACATATTCAATAGTTATTACTGAAG